CTTGGCGATGCTTCAGTGGCTTCATCATCCCGTAGCGTTGGCTGCGCTCCGAACTAAGGTAAAGCAAAGCAAATATTCAGATCTTAGGGTTTCACAAGCCAACCCAACAAAAATCACTTAACACTCCCCAATAAAAAAAATGCGGGGTTATGTTGACTAATTGGAGATCTTTTGACGTGCAACCGAAATCTCAGATTGGCCTCCGTCGGATTGCGGGCATCTCGGCCGATATTTAAACCCGACAATTGTGGATTCATGGGCTAGCGCGTTGGCTCAGAGACACTGAGACGATTTAATGTTTTGTTTTAATATCATTGCCACTTAAGAGCCACCGAGGTGGTTTTTGAAACAAAGCATATTTAAACCATTTTGACAAGCATAGTTTGATTGCGAAAATGGTGTTTCTAAATGATAAAAACATTAAAATGTTTTCGCATACGTGGCGGGATCTGAAATGGCTGAATGAATTTCATGGCGCCCATTTCATTTGGATCGCGTCGGGAATGTGTACCGACGCACAATATAACGCGCGCAAAACTAGCGGTGGTGCACCCGCAGCCTGACGCTTGTGTTTCTGACATCTCTGGCTCGCTCACTGTGGGCATCTAGGCATCTGACACACTGACATCTGGCGCTTTTTCTGTCTTTAACGTAGCGTTTCAAGCGGCATACGACGGAAGATGCACATCAAGCTGTTCTTGAGCACGTGTCGCCATCTGTACTTTATATTAAGAACCTACAATTTTCCGTAACTGAATGGGAAAAGTTTGAGGTCTTATAACATTTTTAAAGTGTAGTATATCAAGATGGAAGTTCTGAAAAATGTAATATCGAAGGATGCTTCATAATTTAATGTCTCGTTATTTCGATTAGTTGACGTGATTCCGTTTTTATAGCGTCATGAAATAATACCATTTTAAACTTTATTTTTTATTTTAAAATATACGCTATCTGTACAGTTTTTGCTTACTTTTTTACTTGATTACATCCAACCAAACGCTCACGTAAAATATCGTGGACGATGGGACGTTATAATTCGAGAAATAAAATGTTCAATGTTAGAGACTGTGGTCTATTAAAAGCTAAATGAATAACTAACCACTACAAATAATCGTAATATCGAGACATTAAAGTATCGCTAAAGAACAGCTCTTTAATCTGACATTAACTTTATAAGTGTAAGACACATAGAAAAAAAGTTATAAGCCGTCAAAAAAGCATGAAAGCGTCATGCATGGTGGGGTTGCACCTTAAAGGGGCGATGCAACAATTTTTGTACTTTGCGCAAATACCGCTTAGAACGGATCCCTGACATTAATGGCCTATGAAACACGCGTTCGCTTTCACCCCACGCAATAGAAGTCCCAGAAAAAAATTAAAGAAAAACGAGCAGCGTTCACCCCCTCAACTCGCAGCCAGAACAAGCGGCCACGTGATCTGGAGCCGATTATATGCCGCCAGTGTAGATCATAGCCACGCGCTGGGGTTGGCAAAGTACAGGGCAAGCGCTGAGTTCCAGATATTGTTATGGCTCGGCTATTGTCGCCGTTGCAGCATTTGGACACCGGTCACTTCCCGAATGCTTCTCGAGCTAGCAATTATCACGAGCCCAAATCGAGCGCCCACGCAATGCTCGGGTCCAATCTATGAACAGCATTCAAATATCGTCATATGGGTGTACTGCGATCCCCACGTTACGTCATGAAATTTTAAAACGGCGAGATTGAATGAAAATGATCGCTTTTGTCCTTGAAATTACACCGCAACAAAGGAGTTTCTTGAACAGCGGAGTTGCGTGTGAGTATTCTTGAGTCCCAGGTGTGCCAGTAAGCTCGTGTCAAGTTAAAAACATTCCAATTGAATATCGTTGCACCGCTCCTTCGAGGTGAGACTTGAAGCTGCGCCTTCAGCTTGAGCTTTCTGCCCTCGCTAAAACAAGTGTGAACGCGCAGGCACGCGCAACCAAAGCACTACAGAAGCCAGAGGGCTCGCGCCGAAGGCGGAGCTTCTAGTCTTAGCTTAAGGGTGAACGGAGGATAGTGTACAACGCTGTCGAAGGTTCTGGTGGAAGCATGGGGTTTGATTTCGCAGATCATTTTGCGCGCGTTCTCGCGCAAACACAATTATAGATATAGGCACGCGCTCGCGCCAGTAGCTTTCACCGCGTTGTATACTAAGTAGGGAACGGAGTATAGGCGACGTGAGCGATCGTAAGCGTCGCTGCGAACAGTCTTCCACCATTGGCCGAATGCTGAAGATGACGTGACCAAAGGATGTCTCGTCGACGGAAATAAGAGTAATGGAAGAACTTCAATTTTGACGGTGTTGGCAGTGTTGGTTTCAGAGCGCAATGATTTCAAGCTTCCACCATGCTCATAACAAACACCATCGAACTTGTGGTTCGCAATTTAGTGACGTCACGAGAGGACTTCATACCTGTCGGTCGAGCGACTATTGTTTATGGTGTTATGCCCCTCTGACCACCAAAGTATTGGAAAGCAACTTCGCGCGTGTTTTGGTTATTTTTCCGTTCCTGCTGGTCGCGTCTACGGCTTCTTGTGGCGGGAGATATTAGGTCTGTTCGATTCGGCTAGAAAGTTCTGAACTAGTTCTGTCCGAGTTCAGAGGAGTGCAGGAGTCGTGCAGCGGCGGCGCAGAACCAGTGCAGCCGCCGCGTTAGGACTGGCGCTGTGATCGACTTCCGGAGTACCGATAAAACGGATGCGCAAGACGTCGTCTGCTTTTGCCGTCTGGCTGCGTCGCCATGGAATTTTGTCTGCTAGCGCTTGGATATTTGCGTTAGTTTTATATTACTTTTTTTTACAAAAATAATTTCCATGTATGTTTCTTTACATTACAAAGTGCGTGCAGCATCTAATGAAACATGTCTGCATTTTATATCGTCTGATTTCGTGCTGCGATCGCTTTCATAGACATTTCATCGACCACGTACCTGGATACCTTCGCGAGATCAAGATGACGATGTCCCGTCAGAATTTACTGGCCGCTGCAGTAGCGCTCATCGAAGACGAGAGCGACGATGAGCTCGACGACATCATCGCCCTCGCCTCGATTGTTTCGGCACGGACTGACAGGAGCAGGGTTCCCCTGTACTACGAAAAGGTGATCGACACCTACTTCGATTTTGAATTTATGCGCTTGTTCAGGCTTTCGAGAGAGACACACGCGGAGCTGGCTGGTCGATATGAAGCTTCGGCGTTTTACCCGGATTCCGTTGGTGGACGACCGCAGATTTCGGCGGAGAAGACATTGCTGATTGTGCTTAGTTACGTAGGCACGAGAGCCACAATGTACCAGATTGCGGATCGCTTTGACATAACGCAGTCGTCCGTTCACCTCTGCATTGAAAGAGTTCTGAACTTTCTGAACAGTATCAGCGCACAAATAATCACCTGGCCTGACCAGGAAAGACGTCGGAGGAGCCAAGCCGGCTTCCTGAGGAAGACTAAGGGGAAAGGGCCCCACAAAACGATCGGGGCGATTGATGGATGCCATGTAGAAATCCTGCGACCAACAGAGTCTCCGAACTCCTACTACAATCGGAGCAAGTTTCATTCCATTGTTCTGCAGGGTATCTGCGATGATCAAAATCAATTCATCGACGTCTACATCGGGTTCCCCGGTTCAGCGCACGACGCCCGCATCCTGAAGGAGAGCCCCATCTTCGAGGACGCGGAAGCCAAGTGTGCGGGTGGGTACCTGCTGGGGGATTCGGCTTATCCCCTGCTGCCATACGTCATGACCCCCTTCAAGTCTTCAAAAGCGGCCCTGCCGTCCTGGAAGACTACGTATAACACGAAGCACGGTCAACAGAGAGTGACAATCGAAAATAATTTCGGGCTGCTCAAGCAGCGATTTCGGAGAATGTACTTGGTCGACAGCGCCAGCATCAGACAATGCTGCCTTGTCGTTATGGGCGCCTGCGTTCTCCACAACCTCTGTAATGCAGAGAGAGACTTTTTCGATGACCTGAACAACGCCCGCCCGCCTGACCAAGTCACCAACGACGACGACCACGCGATCCAACCGGACGACGCCACAAGAAGTCTCTCCGAGCGGATCCGAGAGGCCATTGCAAAGACCGAATGTTAGGAAGCGATATCAAAACCTGATCCTCCAAAAATATTATTATTTTTTTTTTTACTTTTGTGTGTGTGTGAACATACAAAGATGGTACTTGAGCTTTGAAAAATGAAGCGTACCGACTTCATGAAAACACGATTAAACAAAGTAACTGGTTACTTCGTTCCTTCATTTCTGCGTACAGTATTATTTCGATCCAATATCCTAGTACGTTCGTATACCAGAATACATATATGCGGGCATGCACAGGTAGTCAGTGCCAGTGACTCCTAAAACGTAACGTTGTTCCCAAAGCTATTTTCAACCTAACAATCAACAAAACCTAAAAGAAAAAAAAAAGAAAAAAAACTAGATATGGTGGTAAAAAAAATACATGCTGCAAAACTCGGGAAGAATTGTAAAAACTAAGAATGAATCGGGGGACTACAGAGGAGTGGCAAACAAAATCAGCAAGACAATTTGAACGAATTTATTCGTACGGCACAATTGTGCACCAGTCAAAATAATAACAACAGAATAAATAAAACGGCCTGCGAAACAGTGAAACTGTAATCAAGTTCATTGAGGTGCATGAAGCACGTCTACTGTGCCGGCGCGCTCTTTTCGATTGCAGTCACGAGGCGCTCGAGAAGAGCCATCCGGTCCTTATGTCGTTTCTTGCGACTCTCCTCCATGTCGGCGAACACCTTGAGCAGCGAGCCCAGGGCGGTTTCCCTCTTTCTCTTGCTTGGTGTACCGGCCGGAGCACGCTGGTTTGAGGGCGGAGCCACCCCTAAGGCAAGGGAGGAGGGTCCTGCCTCTGTCCCTCGGGAGGTTTCAACCTCGGCGCTGAAACTTTTTTTTTTTTATGTTACGTTGATTATACGTTTCTTAAGTACTTACCTGGTGTCTCCTTTCTTTTCAAGCACTCTTCCCGGCGCCAACAACACAGTTGGTGAAATATGGTGCTCTTTCTCGAGGATGTCATGAAGCTCGCTAAACCACAGAAACAGCACGTTTACAAGTGATGACCTATATAAAACAATTAGTGAACGTACGTACTCCTCGTATTCAAAATGCACCCTAGAGTGGCCCGACTTCTTGTTTTTTGATTTGCCGTTCTTGTACGCTCTCTCCAAGGACTTCCATTTGTTTTCGGCCTGGTCAGCGGTGACAACGCCGCCGAACTCTCCGACGACGGTGTCGGCCAGCTGCTGCCAAAGGGCTCGTTTGGTCCTAAACATGATGTTTACTACGTATTAGCATGTATTATAAAATATATCCTGACAAAGACATACCTGAAACCCCCCTTTGCTCTCAGACGCTCTTTTAGTTCCTTATAACAGCCGATAAAGAACTTCGTCTTCGCGGCACTCCACAGCAGCTGCCCGTCGACGTCCGTTGTGGGTGGACGCGCAGGCTGCAGGACAGTTGGGTCTGCGTCCGGCTCAGAGGCAAAGACGAGCGTAACTCGTTCTCCGTCTTAAAGAGTAGAATGCGAATATTGTAAACATCGATGTATAATCGCGAGGTAAATGACTGGCTTAAGCAAGTCATTCACGAAACGTAAGCAAGGCTGCGTAAGCAAGCCGACGCAGCCCTCTTACGATTTTTAACGTATTTAATTCGAGCTTATTCCTACCTTCGGTAACGTACACCATCCCGCTTCCGTCCACTACGGGCACACAATTTTCGTCCACAAGTGGGAAGACTTCCGTTTCTACGTTGTTGTGTATAACAAACATGCTTTAATGACCGAGCACAGCGAGCAAAAAAGAGAAGAGTCGTCTGCTTTCGTCGTCTGCTTTCGTCGTCTGCTACTGCACGAACGCTGAACTGGCTTCGGAGCCGGTGCAAGCATTTCCGGAACTGGGACTGAACTCGTTCAGAACTAGGATGAATCGAACGCGCCAGTGCAGCGGTCGTGCAATTTCCGGTTGAATCGAATGCGCCAGTTCTTGCACTGCTGAACTAGTTCAGCCAGTTCAGGCGAATCGAACAGACCTATTGAATCGAACCCTGGCCCCGAAACCCGAAGCGCTAATGTTTAAACAACAATCTTAGCAACTATGAAAAGAATTGCAGGGGGCCAAACACAAATTATAACTGAGACTGCTAAAAGATAAGCAGAAAACCACAGATGCCAAACTCCAACAGTCATCGAACAAAGTGACAGCAATAGAAGCCGAGCTTGCGCAGTTTATAACCTAATCTCCCTCCCTTTTGCCTGCTGAAACCATCCCGTCACTGGAATCTAAAATTAGTCCTGTTTTCTGTATTGTCGCTAGATGCGACGATGCAGAAAACAAACTTCGCGTTGTAACCTTTTGGTTTACGGTATCGCAGATTTTAAAAACGAATCGTGGGCCATGAGTGAAGCAAACGTTTTTAAAGTCTGCACGCAAAAACATAAACAGACCGTAAGCTTTGATTCCTTTGAAAGGACCCATCACCTGGGACGTTTTTCAGCGGGAACAAATCGGCCAATAATGATACGTGTTCCCGATTCAATAAGAAAAGATCGGATCTTAATGTCCGGCCCATTGCATAAAGGGATACCTCAACGAAATTTGAAATATTCCCGTCGTGTTCAAAATTAGGTTGAATATCATCCACAATATCCGTAAATGACAATCGCACGTTTGTATTTTGAGCCTCGTTGCTGTATTTTTCGTTATAAACGGCCCACTCTGGCAAGCGCTCGGAGAAGGCCCAGCGGAAACCACGTGACATCCAACGCAATCGTGACCTAGGTCGTCTCAAGACGAGCAACGCTACGGCGAGGCTGACATCGAGAGGATGGCCTAGTCGTTCCAGCAACCGAAGCGGCTGCTATTGTACGAATTTTGAGTGACGCGTTAATCTTCTGTAATCTTGTAGGGGGACAATAGCGACTTCTGCGACACACAAAAGGCATTCTCGGGAAGAGGGGAGTTCCTCCTTCCCCTCTTGTCTCGTCCTGGCCGGAGGCGAGACAACCTCCGTCACTAGCTGTCAAGGTTCCTAGACGGGCACTACAAGCGAGGCGTTAGCGACATCCACCAGGTGCTCTGTGCTAATCGTTTAATGCGTTTTAACATTCCTTTTCGTGACTTTTTAACAAGATATTGGTATGTTCGATGTGATGCTGCTCCTTTGAATACAAATAGACCATAAGATGAGCGCCGAAATTTCGTTGTAGTATCCCTTTAAAGGAGCTGTGCAACGATATTCAGTTGGAATGTTTTTCACTTTACACGAGCTTACTGGCACTAGTGGGGCTCAAGGATACTCGCACACAACTCCACTGGCCAAGAAACTCCTTTGTTGCGGTGTAATTTCAAGTACAAAAGCGATCATTTTCATTCAATCTTTCTTTTGCAAAATTTGATGACGTAACCTGGGGATCCCAGAACACCCAAGTGACCATATTTGAATGCTGTTCATAGATTGGACCCGAGCATTGCGTCGGCGCTCGATTTGGGCTCGTTATAATTACTAGCTCAAGAAGCATTCGGGTCGTGGCCCGCGTCCAATCGCTGAAACGACGACAAAAGCCAAGCCATAACAATGTCTGGAACTCAGCGCGTGTCCTGTGCTTTGCCAACCCCAGCGCGTCGCTATGATCTACATTGGTGGCATATAGTCGGCTCCAGATCACGTGGCCGCTTGTTCTGGCTGCGAGCTGAGGGGGTGAACGCTGCTCGTTTTTCATTATTTTTTTCTGGGACTTCTATTGCGTGGGGTGAAAAACGAACGCGTGTTTCATAGGTCATTGATGTCAGGGATCCGTTCTAAGCGTTATTTGCGCAAAGTACAAAAATTGTTGCATCGCCCCTTTAAAGGAGCTGTGCAACGATATTCAGTTGGAATGTTTTTCACTATACACGAGCTTACTGGCACTAGTGGGACTCAAGGATACTCGCACGCAACGCCACTGGCCAAAAAACTCCTTTGTTGCGGTGGAATTTCAAGGACAAAAGCAATTATTTTCGTTCAATTTCTCCTTTTCAAAAATTGATGACGTAACGTGGGGATCGCAGAACACCCAAGTGACGATATTTGAATGCGGTTCATAGATTGGACCCGAGCCCTGCGTGGGCACTCAATTTGGGCTCGTGATAATTACTAGCTCAAGAAGCATTCGGGTCGTGGCCCGCATCCAATCGCTGAAACGACGACAAAAGCCGAGCCATAACAATGTCTGGAACTCAGCGCGTGTCCTCTGCTTTGCCAACCCCAGCGCGTGGCTATGATCAACATTGGCGGCATATAATCGGCTCCAGATCGCGTGGTCGCTTGTTCTGGCTGCGAGTTGAGGGGGTGAATCCTGCTTGTTTTTCTTTCATCTTTTTCTGGGACTTCTATTGCGTGAAGTGAAAAACGAACGCGTGTTTCATAGGTCATTAACGTCAGGGATCTGTTCTAAGCGGTATTTGCGCAAAGTACGAAAATTGTTGCATCGCCCCTTTAAGGAGACACCTTTCGCCGTAGTGGAAGACTTTTCTTTGGACGTTCGCATTGCTAAAAGAAAATTTCTCCATTTGGCAAAAGAAAAAAATGTCTTATAAGCTGACGTTTAATAAGCCAGAAATAAATAACAGAATATTTGTTTCTAATCCCCTATCAGACAGTGTAGAACAACTGACAGCATAACAGTGAACAAAACTAAAATCTAAGCCCTTCTGTCCTAATCGGGTCTTATCAAGAATCTTGGATAAGAAGTGCAATGTTTCATTTTTGTTCACAAACACCCGAAACATAATTTACGGTCATCATACATGTACGATAGCGATACCGACGTTCTAATCCTAACAGAGACTTCGCTTAAACCCTGAACGATGAAGTTGTAGTTCTCTGCAAAGTCCATGATGAATATTGCCACGGCTGGTGGAAGTGTTGAGGTCAGAAACGTAAGATGATTTGACTGAAGTTTTCTCACATAGTGATTACATTTCAAGTTCTCCAGGTTTTTGAGAAGTTTTCAAACTACTTCTGGGGTACCTGATACAACTGTCATGAGCAGGCACTTGTCCGAGTGAACCCACCGCTTGTACTTTATTTCGTCGTCTTCGGGAGTCTTGCTTTAGGGAAAAGTTTTTGGCGGTTCCGGTCTTGGGTATCTCGAGCTGGTGTGCATCATGCAGCTCTCCTTTTCGATTGAACAAATGGTTAAAGCCAAAAACTCGCTACAGGTTTCTTTTATTCCCAATGAATGCAGCATCAGCTTGACGTTTTTATGGTACTCGCACTCACAAACAGAGTGTGTGCCAGTTGAGCCTGCTAACACACACCAGGGTGGACGCATGGATGCGAAGGTTGAAAAACAGGCTGGCAGGTCTGGATTTTCCTCTTTCCATTTAATGAAAACTTCGTCTAGGTTCAACAAAAGAAACCGCTTTTTTTTTTTCAGGCCGTCTTTCATCCCAGGAAGACAGTACGAAATCCTGTCATCTTGGTAAAAGGCCTCAATTGAGGTTTTCATCTTGGAGAATAGTGGGCGATTTTTTCGTGGATCGGGTTTTTCGAGAATTCCTCTCGTGTCGCGGAGTTGTCTGGCAAATCGATCTATCTTCTTGCCGCAACCAAAATACCACTATTTTCTAATATTGTCCAAGATGGCGGGCATAGTGCTAAAATTAACAGCTTTTCTTGTCTTGACTTCGAGCTTTCAAATTTGTCTCGAAAGCTACCCACAAAAAACTTATAATCGCGCAGAAATGATTTGTCCTCTCCAGGAAATTCAGTTTGTGAGATATTCGGAGAGACACTGGCACTGGCATTCACGCAGGAATTTGAACCCACATTTTGCACTTGGATCGCTTAGGGCTCTCGCGGTCCTTTGCAGGACGCTTTCTGCTTCCAGGGGCTTCTGTTGTGGGGCTGTAAGGTGCATCCGCAACATCCTCCTCGAATGACGTTTGAGCTGGTCTGTCGCTGTCGAGCCCGGATGCCTCTTTCAGACTTGCACACTCCATATAACATTTGGTACATAACCTGTCACCAAAAACTAAGGCGAGAGACATCAGCCTTTGTGCCAAAGTGTTACAAATAAGAGAAGTTCCGCGGCATGATCTTCTGCTTTTCGCGAAGGGGTCCATGCACAGCTTGGAAGTGGTTTGGGTCGTGTACTTTGATAATTACATGTAAAACTGGTGTGCGCCAATGCCACTGACAGTAGACTTGAGTCGTTTTCCACGACGACAAATAACGCCCTGCTGGTTGCGCGGCAAGTCTAAAAACAGTTTGCCCCTTGTTATTCGTACATAGTGTTTTGGATGGCAACTTCCTTGGCCGAATGAACAAACCACTGCGTTATCAACGGGGCTGCAATTAAAAAGAATATTGGCATTTGTGAACACACTGTCCTAAAAGTAGTCTTCTTTCTTATGCACTATCAGTTATTACATTGTTTCTGGACAGCTCTAGTCCTACATGTTTACAGCGGTGCTGTTCCGAGGCATAGATAGGGTACAAATGTCATTCAGATAAGGCCTCAATATACCAAAAAGGTTAAGCGAATGACCATATTTATGGGTTTTAAATTGTTTCATAGGTTATTAACGTCAGGGATCTGTTCTAAGCGGTATTTGCGCAAAGTACGAATATTGTTGCATCGCCCCTTTAAGGAGACACCTTTCGCCGTAGTGGAAGACTTTTCTTTGGACGTTCGCATTGCTAAAAGAAAATTTCTCCA